TGGGCTGCTAGGGGCAGCGCGACTAGCTACTAAGGGCAGTTCGTGGGGCAGCGCTGTGGTGGGCCCTAAAAAAAACGATCCTAGCGAAGGACCTACTCTTAAACCATGTCAGAAGAATGAAGGAGAATGATTGCATTGAACAGGAAGTTGGGTACAAGTACTGACCCTAATTGGGTTGTACCCCTTATGGGCTACCCCACTATAGCCTACACAAAGTAAGCACCATATAAGTTTGACAAAGACATCTCTCACAAGCGGTTAGGTCATCCCAGCGGCGCAACAGCTTACAACACGATCCGAGCAGGGGTGCTCGAGAAAGATGCCTTACTGCTTATCAATGGTTAGGAGCTTCGTCGCCCTCGCCACACCTGCACAATGTATCCTGAAGCTGATCTTCCTCCACAATCGTTCTCGTCGCACCACAATCTGACTGCACATGCATACAAACCACTGGAGAAGGTTTACAGTGACATCTTAGTGATTGCACGGCAAAAAGGACGAGCAGAACTCAACTATGTCATCACCATCATCGATGTTGTGCCAAAGCACTATAGTGGCACGGTCATCGCACTCCCATTCAGCCTACAAGCCTGCTCAGCTTCTGGAATTTTGTGGGGAGGTGCTTCAACATTAGTTCTTCACACCCTTAAAGTTTCAGAATTGTTGAAGCAGTTTACAGGGCATGGCAACATTTTTAGTTTCAAGACTTATGGCATCCCGGAAGTGTGTGTTACTCTTTTTTTGTAACACCCGAGTTCACCATTTCGGCTGCTGACTCATCTACCAAGCTCTGATTGGTCTGAAACTTGGTGTGGCAGTCCTTTGCCGTGTGTTTGACGTGGTCACCAAGGTTCAGGATAACCCAGCATCGGAGCAGCACGTGACAGCTGTCGAAAGTTACTGTTCTGTAGTCATGGTGCACTGTTGGCAGCATTTCCCTTGCCACCCTTTCATTGTTGTCATGCCAATGGTGCAGGGACAGAGAATGAGACAAGAAGTACAGGTGGTCAAGTGGGACTCTACCACCCTCCTTTTGAGAAGTGTGGTCTTCCTGGAAGCACCTTGCAAGAGGGTGCAAGTGGGAAGACAAGCTGACTCATGGTTGGCTTGACTCACTATTGGTAGCCTTGAGTATAGCTCTGAACATCCAAGTGTGGTTGGCTTTGCTGACCTAGCTAGGATGTTTCCCATCCTTCTCTAGCATTTCTCCCCTAGGACTCAACATTCTCTGAGTTTCCAGGATGGTCCCAAACCCTTAAGAGTCCCCTACGCAATGTTGTACTCACCTCTTCCATGCATAAATGAAATTACACGTTTTCAGCCGAGCTTACGTTTCGTTAACTTCTGTTTGGGACGGCGTTTTGAACAGAGGCGGTTCGAAGTCATCAGATTCTGCTTAGGCGGTTTCATGGGCATCCGTGACCCCTAAGTGGACTCTAGACTATAACAAGTGGTATCAGAGCGGTTATTCTCTGTTCTTGGGTCAATATGGAGGCTGAAGGTTCTGCTCCAGCTGGTCCTAGTGGCAGTGGTGGCATGAGAGGCGCTGGGGAAGCAGGAAGAGGCGTTGCAGGCGGATCTGCACCAATAGCATCCGTTTCAACACCAGCCAAGGATGATGTGAATGCATTCAACCTAGAGAAGTTCTCTTGGGAGGATTGGGCATCATGGAGCTTCAGGATGGAGCTCCTATTTAACCATTATGGGCTGCTTGAAGTGATGGATGGAGAATTGAAGAGGCCTGCGAGTGAAGGAGCGACCAAGGAATGGGATCGCCGATCCAAGGATGGATTCTTCCTTCTCTCTCAATGCCTCTCATCCAACCAGCTGCACCACGTCAAGCATCTCATCAAGGATATCCAGTGTGGTCCCAAGGCATGGAAAATATTGAAGGATGTCCATGCCCCCAGCAGCGAAGCGATGGTGGTGGTGCTCGAGTGACAACTCCATGCGGTGAAAATCAACGAGGGTGATGCCGTGCAAGGAGCGTTCGATCAACTCCGGGACCTCTATGTGAAGCTCTCTGCAGCTGGTGTGGACTACCCTGAGAAGATCAAGTGCTACAAGGCTCTCTCCCTGCTGCTGGAGTCGTGGGGCCCCTTGGTGGTTAACCTCAATGGCATGAAGGCCTCATGGTCCCTTGAGTGGATCTGTGCTCAAGTCCTTCAAGAGGAGTTTCGGAGGAAGGAGCTGACTGCAGCTACCGGTGAAGGTGGAGGCTCTGCCTAAGGCATGAAAGGCTTCAAGGGACGTGGCAGCAAGAAAGGCAAGGCCAAGGAAGGCTCTGGAGGGGAGCAGTATTCGGGAGGGAACCGTGGCAACAAGGGAGGCAAGCGGTGTGGCGGCAAGTGTTGGTGTTGCCATGTGGAAGGTCACCTGTGGTTTAAGTGTCGCAAGCTACCTGACGGTTGGAGGCCTGGTCAGCCATCAATTGAAGGCTCTAAGGGTGTTCATGGAGCTATGGGAGAAGGCATGGGCAGTGAGGAGGGCGATGGAGGTGCTGGCGGACATGGCGGCATGTTCTACCATGTAGGAGAGGCATGCTCCGAGGACATGGTTGTACCGGCCAGCAAGGTTGCTCTTCACCGCTCCTCCCATTGGGTCATCGACACGGGAGCCTTCATGACCATGACCAACCGAGAGGATCTGCTGGATGAAGTCAGGCCATCAAAGGCAGCCACTGTCGTTTCAGCCACCGGCCAAGTTGTACCCGTGCGTGGCGAGGGGAGAGCCATGTTTATGGGTGCGGATGGGAGGCTTGTGGGGCTGAAGCGTGTTCTCCTTGTCCCTGGACTATGTGCCAACCTTCTCTCTACCAAGGCATTGAGTGAGGCAAGAATGAAGATGGAGATGATGGGCACAAAGGTGTTCAAGGCAATTCTGGATGGGCGCGTGTTGTGGGACCTCCGAGGTGGCAAGGACATGCACCAGTCCATGTGAGAGATACCGGTGCTGCCATGGAAGGAGGCGGCTGCGCGCTTGGCTGCTGAAGCTGTAAGAGGAGGGCATGCAAGCCACGTAACCAGTGGAGGAGGTGGTGATGGCAATGATGGTGGGCTGCTTGTGCATGGGGGGGGAGCGCTACCAAGTGTAACTCCTAGCACGGGTGAGACGGATTGGCTCACCGCACACCGTCGTTTTGGCCACGTGGCGCTACCTCAGTTACAGCAGCTGTTTACATAGGAAAGATTCAAGGGGCTAAGGATAGAGGGGGAGCCCAAGGAGGTGGGATCTTGAGAGACTTGCTTGACCAGCAAGTTCTCACGATTTCCCTTCCATTCGACGGTGGGGCAGTCAAGTGACCCGGTGGAGCTCGTGCATGTGGATCTTGTGGGGCCCATGAAGGTGAAGAGAGATGGTGGGGCCCTGTATTCCATGACTATGGTCGATGATTACACAAGGCTCACCTGGTCGTTTCCACTTGCAAAGAAGAGTGATGCTACAATGGTCATCATTGAAGAGTGGCTGCCCATGGTGGAGCGAGAAAGCGGCAAGTGGGTGAAGGCGATTCGTAGCGACCGTGGTGGGGAGTTTTTGGGAGCGGAGTTCCGGAGCTGGTTGAAGTGGCACGGCATCAAGCAGCAGCTCACCACGGCCTGCACCCCTCAGTCCAACGGCGTGGCAGAGAGAGCGAACCGGACCATCATAGAGGGTGGGAGAACGATATTGGTGGACTCGGGTCTACCCTTGCGGTTCTGGCCCCTCGCTATTCGTCATGTTACCGTTATCAAGAACAGGGTGTTGAATCATGTGGGAGGTAAGCATTGGGTCCCTATGGAGAAGTGGAGTGGCAAGAAGCCCCTGGTGGATATGCTTCGTGTCTTCGGGTGCATGGGGCTCGTGCATGTCCCCAAGGAGAAGTGTGACAAGCTTCAAGCGGCGGCGGTGTGGGCTGTTCATTTGGGTCTTGCACGGGGGAGCAAGAACTGGCTCATGTGGGACCCAAAATCCAACACCGTCTTCACCACCAGAGATGCCAAGTTCATGGAGGGGCTCATGTTCAAGGAGTGGTCGGAGCGGGGGAGAAGCAAGGTCACCATTCCGCTTGGAATAGAGGTGGGAACGAATGACCCACTTCTCATTCGCATCGAGTTCTCCTCATCTTCAGAGTTGACAGAGGTGTCACGTGACTTGCGAGGTGCTGAAGGGGAGGCAGCAGATGTGGAAGAAGTACTGCAGCAAGGGGAGGCCCCTGTAGCTGAGAGAGGTGATACCGAGGAGGAGGTGCAGCAGCCTATACCATCCCCTAAGCTTCCACCAAGGCGCACAACCCAAGGGAAGCGTGATGCTGTCCGTGGTGGAGTCAAGGAAGGTGCAGCCAAGGAGAGGCCCAAGAGAGCTGCCCACCCAAGGGATTTCCTCAAGTATGAAAGGCTTGGGGTTGCTAAAGGGCCCGCGAAGGGCCGTCAAAGGGGCCGTGAAGGGCCGTCAAAGGGGCCGCGAAGGGCCTTAAGATGGGTTGTGAAGGGCCTTAAGAAGGGGCCGCGAAGGGCCTTAAGAGGGGCTGCTAAGGGCCGCGAAGGGGCAGCGACGGGCCACTAAGGGCCTCGAAGGGCAGGCGCGATGCGCGCCTCGGGCAGGTAAGGAAAAAAAAAAAAATTGTAGTGGTGGGCCCTAAAAAAAAAATCGAACCAGCTCTATACCATGTGAGAATCATGAGAGGAATGAGTGAAGCTAGAAAGGAGATGTGTACAAGTAGGAAACACAAAAGTGTTGTACCCTCTAAGACCTACCCCACTACAGCCTAAACAGACTATAGCATCTATAAGTTTGACAAGCTAAGCAGTCCTTGAATGAATTCGGCCTTGCATCTACGGCCGAATTCATTGACGAATGTTGCCATCAACCTTGTGGCATCGTGCCGCAGTGGTTTCGTGATGACCCCGCCATCTCCAACCTTCCTTTCCTTCCCCCTACCCAGAGCCAGGCTTCCTTCGCTTCCTGCTTTTCGTTCAGTATCACACTTTCCTCTCGCTCCATCTTTCCCCTAGCTCGCCGCCATGGAGGCCCTGCCGGCCGACGAAGATGCTCCTCAGACTGGCCCTGACGAGCCATCTTTACCGGCGAAACCGACAGCGCAAGCCTTGCCGGAGAAAGCATCAGATGATCCCCGGTCTGGGCTCGATTTTCTTAGAGCTACCGGTGCTCCGGTGACACCAGAACCTCCTAGGTCTACGGTTCATGACTCTGCTGCTAGAGTAACCCCTACCCCTTCTGATTCTCCACATCCTGTCGCCTTCACTCTACCCCCGGCTGTTGCTTCTTGCAGCAAAGATCCCCCACCGCCATCGCCTAGCCCCACTCCAAGCACGGTGCGTGTGTCTGTTGGCCCGCCGTCGGCTTCTTCCACTCCCAAGCGAGCGCAAAATGGGAAGTGGGCGCAGAGTACTCTGGTCGTCGGAGGCCGCCGTATTCCACCGCCTGACAATGACAAGCCGGCAGATCCTCCACCAAAAGAAGCTGAGCAACCGGAGGAAGTTGACATCCCTGTGTGCGCGGATACTGGCTCGCCCGCACTCACCAAGATGCAGCTGCGAGAGCAGGTGTACCTTGAGGCGAGTATTAACTACGAGACGAAGTGGTCGCAACACTTTTCCTGGCTGGTGTTTGGGAAGACCAAGGACGGTTTTCCATACGTGAAGTGCTCCATCTGCATGTCGTACGCGAAGGGGAACACGAGGTACGCCATGCAAGGTGATGACGGTGGCCGTGACTTGCAGACGCAGTCGTTCAGGGCGCACGAGCATACGGACGCACACAAGGCGGCGGTGGATCGGCAGTTGAAGCTTGCGGCGGGCATCCGCGAGGGCCAGCAGGCGATTTTTGACTTCATCAACTCCGACGTCGAGGGGCGGCGCGCGATTCGTCTCATGCGGTCTACGCAGTTCCTGTGCCAGTGCGACGCGCCGATTAGCATGTTTCCGAAGCTGATGCGGCATCTTGCGGAGCAGGACACGCCAGACATTGCTCGACAATCTTACGGCGTGTATCTCACACGGTATTTAATCTTACCGTTAGATTGCAGCTGGACATATGTGACGTGTGGTTTTTTTATTACGATCCTGACCATTTTATTCTCCTCTGTGCAGATACGGGTTCCAACAAATGGTTCACAGCATCAATACATACCTCACTCGGGTCCAGATGGACCACATCCTGGCATCCCCCTTCCTGGGCATTCAGTGCAACGAGAGCACAGACCGAACACGAGGGAAACACATGATTGTGTACCTTACGTTTTTTAAGAATCGCCAAATCGCATGCGAGTTCTTTACATTGCTGACGGTTGAGCGGTGTGATGCAGGGTCTCTGTTCGAGGTGCTTCTGAACCATCTCCGCTCCGCAGCCGTCGATGTGTCCAAGATCGTCGGCATCAGCACGGATGGGGCGTCGGTCATGACCGGGAAAGAAAACGGATTGGTGGCGCGTCTTCGGGAACACGTTCCGCACCTGTTTTCATGCCACTGCATCGCCCACCGGTGTGTATCAAGTTTCCTAGTTGGTGTGGTTTTCTACGTATAAGATTAACCAATTACCTCTTGATTTGTATTCCCTGCATCCTACAGTGAGGCGTTGGCTGTGAAGGACGCCGCTGAGTCAAACGAGGACCTTGGCATGGTCGACAAGGTGGTGCGCACAGTGGCGACGCTTCTCGGAAACTCAAGCGTGTGGAGTCAGTGGTTCAAGTACCTTCAGCGAGTGATCTACCAGACAAACCTCGAGGTCCAAGGAATCCACACGGTTTGATGGCTGTCACGAGGTGATGCTGTGCGCAGGCTGTGCAAGGTCCTCGGCGCTTGCATCGTGCTGCTCTGGGAGCACAACCACAAGGCCTACGAGATTGTGACGTGCTACAAGTTCCAGTTCTGTTTGTTTTTCCTGGCCGACATTCTGGCCGACATGAACGACCTGAACCGCTGCTTCCAGAGGCGTGAGGTGAGATTGAATGCTAGTATAATGTTGAGATGGGAAGTGTAATCCTACACTTTTGCTAATCCTACTCCCTGTTGTTGATTGCATGTGTGACAGCTGGATGTGACTGAGATTTCGAAGACTATTGAGTCCACCACGGGTGACCTGACAGAGCGCTACTTGACGACAAACAAACCGTTCGGGGGCGAGGGGAAGAGCTGGCTGGTAAACTTCCTCAAGGTCCACAAGGAGGGTGGAGGCAAGCAGGTCCGGGTTCGAGGCGTGGACGGAGAGGGACGCCCAATCAACCACCTCTACACCATGCATGAGAGGAAGCTGAAGGGCCACAAGCAGGGAAGCACCTACGCAGACTGCGTGAAGCTGTGCCGCCAATTTGTCCGCAACTGCGTGGACAACCTGAACGAACGGCTGGATGACCTTGGGAAGCTGGGCCCGACGAAGCTGTTCCGGGCGGGGAAGTGGTCGAAGATCAAGGCCCAGCGAGAGAAGAAGTGCAAGGAGTGGCTGCACGGATGCAGCAGGCTCTTCCGCCACAAGCTGCCGGGATTCGACCTCAAAGCAGCAGAGAGGGAGCTCCCGACATTCTGCGCGATCATGGAGTCACACCATGAGATGGAGAGCTTCGCCCAGGGCCTTAACAACTTTCTTGGGAGCGTAGACTCAAAGAGGTAGGCCACTGCATGCGTACGAGTTTTTTACCTATTTGATTTTTATGTTGGTGATTATTAACATGTTGAATTCCAACTTGTTGATTTATTAACTTGTTGATACTTTTCATGTTTTGTTGTGTTTCGAATGTGCCTGGCAGGAGATGGCCCAACCTCATCCTGCTGTGGCAGGCGCTGGCTGTGATTCCCCTCTCCACCGTGGAGTGCGAGAGGGGGTTCTCCAGGCAGAACATCATCAATTCCTGGGTGCGTGGAGCGCTCTGTAACGCGCGTCTGGGGGAGCTGATGCAGATATCGCTCTTGAAGTACAAGATCGAATGGCCGGAGGCACTGGAGGTGTGGAGGTCCATGCGGAGGAGGCGCCCTGTGAAGAGCCTGAAGCTGGCCGTGGCAGAGAGGGAGAGGAAGGGGAAGCAGAAGGAGGGTGAAGCTATGGCTGCTGGAACTGCGGGGGAGAACGAGGAAGAGGGGGAGGAGGAGGAGGAGGACGATGAAGTGGAACAGGACTTGGGCAACGATCAGGAGGTCGTGGAAGAGGAGGACAACCCTTTCCTGTCAGACGATGAGGACGTAGAGGAGGTGTACTTCATTGACAAACCCGTGCACTAGATAGTGTAGGAAAGTTGAAGTTGTTGTATCAGTCATTTTGAAGTGTAGTGCAATATTAATAGCAACCCTGATTTTGAGCTGTGAACCCTGGCGGATCAGACTAGGACTTTGTTCGACACTGAGCTATCAGGGTAGCTTCCCTGTGAAAAATGTGCGATCATAATAGAGGGGGAATTTTTTTCCGGGAATCAGGGAGGCCTAAAACGAAACGTCAGCCCTGTATGGAGTCGCACGGTTGGATTTCGTTGCGATAACGGAATGTACCCCTTAGAGTACATGGCTAGACTATTTCGTTTCGTATTCCCCTGTACTCTTATGTTAACGAATGCATTTGCATGTTTTTATTATCTCAATCATTTTAAATTCACTCTGACCTGAGGTCATTACTTCCGCTGCAACACACACTCTCTGCGAACCTTCCTGAGGTGAGCACGATCAATCTTCTGATTGCAACATGGTATGAGAGCGGCTCAGGAATCCTTCGCACTGCCACCCCCGAAATCTTCGGCGAAATAAGGTGGCGTCTAGCACACGTAAGGATGGCCAGAGGATCTGGAGGTCAGACGAATCTGACCGCTGAATCGCAGACCCACCCGGCTACGACAAACGAGGAGACGACGACGATCACTTCCGTCGCACTCGAACAACTGCTTCAGCGACTTTCAACCTTGGAGCAAGGGCTCCAGACATTGCGGAATGGCGACGCGGGAAACTCTTCCCGACCCTCTCAACCGGTCGCGAATGGCCGTGATATCGCCCCGCACACCTTCTCTCTTGACACAAATGGTTCAACACCCAAGACTCCCCGTCCCAGCGATGGAGCAATTCTCTCAGCTCAATGAAGGTTTTTGAGCATATACAAAATAAAGACAAGTGTCTGCTTTGACGGCAAAGACAACTATTCCTTGATCTTTTAACTGGAGCTACTGCTGTAGAACGCGCAGATTTTTCACTATTTCAACGGGAGTTACTGGCCGACACCGACGACGCCAGAGCGCGATACTACAGCGAATCACTCATGGCGTATGGTGTGCTTCTCCGCAACATGTCGCCAGCGGAGCAGCTAGGAATTCGTTCCTACAAAATAGCACCTGCTCCAGCGCTTGAGGCCTCATGACACCTCAACGGGGTGTATCAACCGAAAGACTCGATGTCATCAAGCCGTCTACTCCAACAGCTACTGGAGACAACGATGGCACCAGGGGAGAAGGCCAACAGCTACATTAACCATTGCTTGAGCTTAAGCGATCAAATCGCGAAACTCGGGAGCTCGATTTCAGAAGGAATCTTCGTGAACGTCGTGCTTGCAAGACTCAGCCCAGAATGGCGACCCTGCAAGGCGCTCTTCCGGCAACAGGGGGCTATCTCGGAAGCCACCCTATACGCCGCCCTTCTCGTCGAACAAAGGGATATGGATCAGCAGCAACCAGCGCCGCGACGAGAACGAGAACGAATCGCATTCTACGCCGACAACAAAGAAGAACGACGACCACAGTGCCTCTACTGCAAAATTTGCAGAAATTTCGGGCATCTAGCCGAGCGGTGCAAATTCTGCTCCGCCCCTCGCCAGTCCAATCCGAGCACTTGGGCCGGCCGACAAGACGCAAGGCAGGATACACGTCAAGCCCAGGACTATCAGCCCCCATCGCGCAACCCGAACCCAACGGTTCAGCACCGGCAACAGCAGCCGTCGCAAACTGGGCCCGCGCGCAATGTCATCGGAAACACGACGATGATATATACGCGCGGAACCCATCGTCGCCGCGCGCGCACGCGGCCGCCAAAGCCAGCGCCGCACCCCATTGGTGCCTTCATGGATAACAATCCGTTCACGCCTGACCGCGACTACAATGACAACGACGGTGTCGGAATTCCTCCCCTCTGTTCCTGCCGTTCTGCCTTCTCTGCGACTGAGATGCTTTCCCCAACGCCATCCTTCCTCATCCCTGCATTGCTAACCTTCTTACCCCTTTTCTCCCCCTTCAGCTCCCTCTCCCTTGGTAACCTCCTACCACTCCAGTTTACCCTCTTGTACCAACCTTCATCTCTCACCCCCTCCAGCTGACCCTCTTGTACCAAACCTCCTCCTTCGTCTCTCACCCCCTCCTCTATTTCTCCTCCCTTGGCTGTATTCACCCCACTTTCTCCTTGCCCTTGCGTGTGGTTTGCTGCTGTTCTGACCCTTCTTGCCCCCTCCCATGCCGCATTGCAGCAGTCCTCGAGCGCGTCATGGGACCAGATGGTCCTGCCTTCTCCCTCTCACTGCGGATCCTGGCTATGTTGGTAACATGATCTGCCACTCGCTTGCCCTTCCCATCTTCCAGCACTATCACCCCTGAAAACTTCAGTTCTCTCACTGTCCAGCGCTGCTATGAGAGGCCCACATCCAGCGCGTGCTTACGGGGCCTCCTCAGATACACTTCTTCTCTTTCTTGAACACCTGGCCTGGTTCCAGTGCCCCCTGCTTCCTGCCTCTACTTGTACCTCTCAATGTCACGTAGCTGGGCCACATGCAGATTCTCCAGCGCCGCCGGCAGCAGCTGACGGAGGTAGGCTGCCCTTGCTTCTGCTACCGCAATCCACTTCTCCGCAAACCCTGTTGTCACCACGTCCACCAACAACCTGGGTGCCTCCACATGCATCAGCGACTCTTTTCCAAAGAGCAAGTAATACGGCGAGACGTCCTTGAGGGCGACCTGCTTATTGAACCTATAGCCCGCTATGACCCAGCACAACTCTTTGTCCCAATCTCATTTGTGCTCTTCCCCATATGCCCTCAGCCCCTTTTTCACTGTTTGCACTAGTCTCTCCGTCAGCCCGTCGCTTTGTGGATGGTAGCGCGAGGTGGTTCGGTGCCTGATACCACTGGCCTTCAACAGCTCATCAAAGGCTCCCTGAAACTCCGTCCCCTGATCTGTCAGCACCTCCCCGCATGCCCCCAGTCGTGTGATCACCATCTCTTCGAAAGCCTCAGCCACCGCTTCTGCTGTCTTATGCACGAGCGGTTTCACCTCAGCCCATTTTCTCACGTGTTCCACCATAAGCGGAATGTACCTCCTCCCCTTTTTGCTGACAGGTAGTTCTCCTGCTATATCCAAAGACCACCTATAGCCCAGGCTGACTATGGGTACGGGTTGGAGCTCGGCCTTCTCTCGTTCCATCACCGCTCGGTTCCTGCAGCAGGCCTCGGAGCGCCACACCCAGTCCTTGATCTGCCTCCGCATGCCGGCCCACCACCACCCCGTCTGTACTAGCTGCTGCGTCCTTAGTGGACCATAATGTCCCAGCTTCTCGTGTACCTTCTGAATGATGCCCTCCCTTACTCCCAGCGCTGGCACATGCTTCCATCCTTCTCCTGTCCGCAGCTGTACTTGCCCCTTGAACCACCTGTAGTATTCACCTCTCGCTCGCACCTTTGCGGAGGCATCCCCTTCCTCTCTTGTTGCCCCCTGAATCCAGGCCAGTGCTTCCGCGCCTTCCCAGATATCCGCTGGTCCCCCCTTCTTCTCTCCTCATTCCCTTTCCCGGTCCGCTCCCTTCGCCATAGCCATCAGGCATGCTGACAGTTGCAATTTTGGTGGGTTGCGTGACAAGCCGTCCACGTGTTGCATCGTTTTTCCCGGACGATGCTTGATCTCGAAGTCGTATTCTTGGAGCTTCATTGCCCATCTCGCATTCCGTCCCGTTAAGTCCGGGGTCTGCATCAGCCATAGTAGAGGCTGGTGATCCGTCACCAGCGTGAACTTCCTGCCATGAAGGTATACGCGGAAGTGCTTCACCGCCCATACCACCGCCAACCCCTCTCCTTCGTACGATGAGTAATTGGCTTCGCGGCATTGCAGCTACGACTCGCGAACGCCACCACCTTTTCCACCACCCATGCCTGCACTGCTCCAGTCGGTGTACAACGTGAATGGCAGCTCAGCCTTTGGCAGCTCGAGAACCGCCCCGCTCTTAACTGCTCCCATCAGGTCCTGCACAGCCTGGTCTTGCTCCGGCCCCCACTCCCACTTCTGGTCCTCGCGCAGGAGGTGGTTCAGCGGCATAGCTCGTCTGCTAAAGTTCGGCACGAACTTCCTGTAGTAATTCAGGAAGCCTAGCAGTGATCGAAGGGTGCTCTTGTCTTTAGGGACTGCCACCCAATCCCGCACCTCCACCTTCGCCCGTTGAATGCCTATCCGCCCCCCTTCCACCTCGAACCCCAAGTATTCCACCGTTCTCTGCCCGAATCTGCACTTCCCCGGGTGACACGTTAGCCCTGCCTCCTGAATGGCTCTGAGCGCTGCCTCCACGTCCTGCACATGTGACTTACTGTCCGTGCTAAGAACTATGACGTCGTCAACGTAACATGCTGCATTTGGAACATTCCGCAGCACCTGATCTATGACCCTCTGG